GGTGATGGGTATTAAAGAAGGCACGTTCTGCATGGAGCACTGGGTGTTATGCACAAACAATGAATCATGGAACACTACATCTAAAACTAATGATGTGATGTATGGGGATTAACATAACAATAAAAAAATTGGAAAAAATAAAATAAAATAAAATTCGATTATGGTGATGGTTGCACAACTCTGAATATCCTAACAACCCTCAATGGTGCACTTTAAAAGGGTGAAGTTTATGTAAATATATATATATATATTACAGTAAATATATATGTAAATATATATCAGTAAAGTTGTAAAAAATTAAATTTCAGATAAAATATTTTCCCACATAACTATGTGTCCTGCAATATTTTACCTGGCAACCCTAATGAGGAGAATTTTTAATTAAGAGAATTATATTAGATCATGTCATACCATGTCATAATATATTCTATTAGAATTCTATTTATCCAGAGGAGCCCTACCTTGTCCTGTACCATCAATAAAGTATACTGTACCCAGCCAAAAAAAAAAAAAAAAAAAGGAATTCTATTTATCCAGAGAAAGAGTGATATCCAGAATACAAAATACACCCTCACTGCCAGGTGACTCTTTCAATGAAAGCAAGTCTTAGAAGCATTCTGCCACCACGGGAACACTTGCAGCAAGCAGTCACACATGTAGTCACACTAACATTCTCATGATTTCCAATGTCCCTTATGCTGAGCGAGGAGCCTCCACATATCTGAAACCCTTCACCTCGGTCACCGCTGGATCCAGGCAGATGCACTGCATGACCTCAGGAGCACTGCTCATGTTGTCTTTAAGCGAGTGGCGCCCCCTAGAGGTGTGCAGAGCAACAACATGATTCTGGACAGTGGCTCCCGGCCGCCATCCTGCAGAGGCCAGGCTCGCACTGGCCCCGTTGACGAGGGAACTCCGGGTGTTTGCTGCCCCGTGGGTACAGACCGGTATGTAACTCCCCCAAGCACACCCCTCACATGGCCCACGCCAAAGTGTGTTAAAGGAATTACACACAATGTAAAAACTTGAATGATATAACCAGCCACGTGACCATTTTTCATTTTTAATAAAATCCTTGGTATTTCAGGCCGACGTTCTATCATCCTTTTAACATGTGAAAAACGTTCTTCGTATGCAGAAAAAATATCGTCGACCCGGAAGACCCCCGATGCGCCCGCCTGACGCTCACCGGCCAGATGATCGCCGTGTCTCCAGAAGAAGTAGAATTTGCCAAGCAAGCCATGTTTTCAAGGTTTGTATATGCTTTAAAGTCGGTTTGCCCAGAAATACACCGTAAAAAAAAGCAGAGGTGAGGACTGTGCCCTTTGATGCCCCTGAAGCAATGATAGTAATGGTCTGAGCTGCCCTGGGTGGCGGGCAGGGCTGCCAACCTCACGCTGGCTGTCGTGGTGGCTCCGCGGGGGAGGGGACAGCAGAGGCCTTGCAGGTGGTCTTGCGGTCCCCCTCCCACCCCCCGCTGCCTTTGGAGAGCATCCTGCATTGAGGGATCCCAGGCACTCTTCCCTGCGCACTTGCTGCCTTCCACAACAGCCTGCCTTGAAATGGAAATAACTGGACTTTGCAGAGAAGGCAACACAACAAACATTTTCAAACGTCCACTCTAAGCAAAGCACAGTGCAGAGTGAAAGAGCGTCTTGCTCAGGGTGGTCCTCTGCTGCCTACGTCTGACCCACTGAGGATGCTGGCGGCCACGGGCTTTCTGCCCCCGCCTGCTTACTGAATCAGATTCTCGGGAGAGAAGACTCACTCGAAATGTTAAAAGCATGTCCCAGGAAATGAGCATGCATGCTGAAGTTTAAGAATCACGGCTGTCAAAGTGAGCAAGAGGGCAGCCCTGTGGGAGGCGGCAGGAGGTCAAGAGCTTGCGAAAGGTGTGAGGAGGGTGTGTGCAGGGAGGGGTGGTCTCCCAGGGGGGCTGGAGTGAGGGACTCGTCCACGCAGGGGGCCGCCTGGAGTGCAAGGTCAGAACTGGGCCAAAGAGCGGCAGGTATCCTCCCTGGGGTGCAGGTGATGAAAACAGGCAGATTAACTCTTTGTCTAAGTACGTGGAAGACTAACACGGCAGCAGGTGGTAAATTGGGAGTGCACCCACACCTCCTCGGAGAAGGGACGATTTTTCCATACAGGGGAAACATCAAATAAGTAAGCATAGAAAGGAGAGGGGAAGCCTGGTTTCCCACTGCTGTGGAAAAGGGTTTCACGTGCACAGAGAAAATGGTAATGAACTCGAATTGGATTGCAATTGGATACATCAACATGAATGCAGGGTTTTCAGAACATAGGTTGAGAAAAGAACATTGGTTTTGTGTGCGTGTGTGTGTGTGCCCGTGACATATTTTTGAACCCCGCTGTCCTCTTTACTTCTAAACACTCCTCTTTCGTGTTATAATAGGCAGTGAGAAGAGGCCAGAATCTTAGGTAGACCATTGTGTCTTTCTGCAGGAAACACGGCAGGTGCTGTGTTGCCAAATTTTTCACCACTATGTTTTGTGGGCCCCTTTACACGCCGCCCCCCCCACCACCTCCACTAACCTCATCTTTACCTTCTTCTAAGCCCCCACTGTGAGTCTCCTCGAGTTCCTTCCACCTGCCCCTCACTGTCTGGATGCAAAGCCGGTGCCCCCTGGATTAGGATTTATTAACATCTGAGCCACAACTTCAGGTACCAAAATGTGTTCCGGTTCCAAGTACAAACTGTGTTTGCTTAAAATAGCAACAATCCTTTTATTATCTTGGCATTACACGTATTTGGAGTGTTGGGGCATCAGATCAGCAACTTCATTTCAAATGGTTTAGGGAAAAAAATAGTGTCCCTCCCCCCCCCAAAAAAACCCAAAACAAAACCCTGTACTTCCAACTTCTCTGGGCTTTTACAGTTATTTCAAAACAAATTGTCTCTTTTAAAAGGTCATCGGCCTATTATTGCTTCTACATTGTTGCAAATAGCCTCCCCAGTCAGCACTTGACCTTTGACTTTTGTCTTTGACATGTTTAGGTAAGAATCTAGTTTTTTATGTTTCTGAACTTTACAAGAAATGAGCCAAGCACCTGCCCTTAAGAAGACGCATATATCTAGGGTTTCACGTGAGGGAGAAAGCAAGTCGGTAAGTAGAAGGCGGAGTGTGACGAGCCCTGTGCATTCTGGCTGACTCTCCTCGTGGCCCAACATCTCTCAGCCTGCGGCCGCGGTGCCACTCTTCCCACCAGCAGATTTATTTCATGGGCTCACAATTCTTTTGAATTTTCATCCGAAGATGCAGAAAGCCTTTCTTGATGTTTCCTGCCATCAGCAACCGGCGTTCACTGAACACTTGCTCTGTGCAGGTGCTTCCTGTGCGCAGAGTTGTTTGCTCCCCACGCAGTCCCATGATCCAAGCACCGCCACCCTTGTCCCCCATGACGGGTAAGGAGGCCAGGGTTTGAGACGGCAGATGGCCCACAAAGCCTCTTGCTCATCCGCCGCTGACCTGGGACTCGAACCAAGGCGCCTAGGACAAGGCGGGTTTGCCCCTCTGTGGAGGTGGCCGCTCCCTGCCTTCCGAGGCTGTCCCGGACCCCAGCCCTGGCTCCCTGGCTTCTGCCTCTGGCTTCGGCCCAGACGAGGCCTGGGCTCTGGAGGCCCGATGACCTGGCCGATGCCACGGAGGCGGGCCCGGGGTCCCGGGAGGGCCCACCTGCTGATGGGAGCAGCTCTCTCGTGACCTCTCCTTTATTTCTGCAGACACCCCGTGATGAGGAAGTGGCCTCGTCAGTATGAGTGGTTCTTTATGAAGATGAGGATAGAACATATCTGGCTTCAGAAATGGTATGGAGGCGTATCCGACATTAAAAAGGAGGACTACTTCAAAGCAGTCCCACGCAAGGCCTGATGCAGTCAGCAGAAAGTCCTCGGGGTTTGCGGGAAACGAGACCCCTTTCCGTCACGCTGCCACACGGCGCCTGACGGCTGTCTGTCTCTTGCCAGCTTCCCGGCTGCCCTGTCACCCTCACCGCAGAACGAGAGAGGGTGACCGGGGAACCCTGGGCCTGGCTGGCGATTAGAGTGGTCATTTGCAAGCCCCCAGTTCACGCAGGTACTCACGTAGATATAGCCTCCGTTTGTATCGTATTCCACCCAGTCTCGCCGACTAGGGAACCCTCATGGTTGTCAAAGCGACATGCTGAGACCCTTGCCGTTCCATTCCTTAGAACAAAAAAAAAAAAAAAAAAGTATGTGCCATGTGATTGCATTGTATTGTGAGAGTATTTTTGTTGCTTGCTGTGCCCAAAGCAGTCTTGGTTCAGAGCTCACCGCGAGCACAAAGGAGCTAAACGTGCATCGCGTGGCCACGGTCTTGTGTTTGGGGTGAGCACGCAGGACTGGTTGTCTGTGGAGTGCTCATCATGCTACTTACTGGACTGCAGATGCATGATCAAGTCACATTTGCTAGAATGTCCTGGTCACGTAGGAAGCCTTTGTCCACTACAACCTGACAAACCACCTGTGAACAGAGTCCTGGGCGAAGCCCCGTTATGTGTGAGCAGGCCGTGGTGACTCCTTCATCGGGTGGGACAGCTTCAGCACCAAGCTCCCCAGATCCCCACAGCTAATGCTTCTGACAGAGGGTTCCCATCCCTTAGGCACGAGGAGTGGCATCCAAAAAAAAGCATCTCATTCTGTGGCATGTAGAGAGGACAGGGGAGAGGAGAGGAGCAGGGAAGGAAGCAAGGAAGCAAAGAAGTCAGTAATTGGAAGCACACTCCCTGCCCAGCCTTAGACCAGGGCCTTGGCAAGATTATCTCATGTCAGCCTGACAACCAATGAGAGTCACATCACTGTTGCCACTTACATACAAGAAAATTGGGGCTCAGACAGGCTAGGTCAGCGTCCCAGGGTCTGACTCACCACACACAATGGATGGAGTGGTACTTAGACAAGTTCCAATCTTGAGAACAAGACAAGAGAGTCACTGAAATGCATGGGTGGTCATTGAATCAGCAAAATCAGTAAAGTGAGGATTAACCTGCCTAGGCTGATTTGCCACGGTTAACTATAAAAAAAAAAAGTCTTTGAAATTTGATTGTTACTACAGATTTAAAATTTTCTACAAATTATATGCAGGAGCTCCTGGTTTTTCAAGAAACGACATTGTACCTGAGTACACATCTAAGGCCTATAAAGGACCTATGTGTATACATCCAAGACCTCTTACATTGAAGTCTGTAAAGATCTAGTAGTACCCAGTTTTCTGTCTTTTTATAATGGCTATGAACCCTCTGTGGTGGGTTAGGTGTGTTGTATAACATAAAAATACACTATAGGAAATATACATTTTTTAAAATAAGTAAAATGTTATTAATGATTATACTTTAAAAAATTAAGACATGAACAGAGTTTGAGGTGTCAAAATATTTTTAAGTGCCTGTTACAAAAAGCATAGTAAGATGCACAGAATTCTTTTTTGTCAAAAGCCAATTCTCAAAAGAGTTCCTAACAATAACAATTTCTAATACATAAGAATAAGGTCACTTTGATGGTATTTTGTATTTCCGAGTTAAAAATTATCGCTACCCCCAGTTTAGAGGTAAGAGGGGAAAACCAGAAGGATAAACCACATACTCCATAAGTCAACCTCATACCTTAATTCTTTGGGCATCACTACCTCTTGATTCTGTCTTATGAATAATGTTCGTATGCTAAGTTTGCTTTTATAATCAGGTTCCACTCAGCTCATTAAAGCCCTCTTTGCTGCTTCAAGGGGCTTTGCAGGGTGGGTGCCATTTATAACCACTAATGAATGTTATCAATTATTTATCCAAATGACAGGAAATGAGGTCTAAACAGGTTGGATGATAAGAGTGTTGAAAGTGTATCTGGCCCCATTCAAGCCAGTAGGTTTCAGCAAATCTCTGAAAATTTACCTTGATGAAAATGTTGAAGGGTGTACTGGAAATTCTGCACATGGCAATAAACAAGAAAAGAAATTAAATGCATGTGACTGGAAAGAAATAAAAGTATCTCTGTTTACAGATGACATGATTGTCTACATAGCAAATTCCAAAGAATCTATTTAAAAAAAAAGTCAAAGAACTAGTGGGTTCAGCAAGGTTTCAGGATACAAGGTCAGCACACAAAATGTAATCACATTTCTAAATATTAACAATGAACAAAGTGGGGCGCCTGGGTGGCTCAGTCGTTAA